TTTTTTAAATTTCTTATAAATTTATGTGGTGGTATATGCAAACTAGGTCATCTAAACATAGTTCAGGAAAAAATAACAAAACTGATCAATATGACTTTCTGGCAGTTTCTCAAGGATTTATAACTGGTCAAAAACCATAATTTTAGTTTCTCTGGTCTATAGGATTTAACATGTTTCTGAGAAAGATTTATGTTTGTGCCAAAATACTATTACCAGTCAGGAAGAACACATGCCACAGCAAACAATTATTAACCTCTTCACAACCAAGTGCCTTGCAGACTAGCATGGGTGATCATGCCTCTCCAGAACCTGCAACCTCTAACAGCATGTAATGTTTTTTCAAGAATTTGTCAAAGTCACTGCCCATAATATGTAGAAGTTTGAGTAAAATATGAAATCTCTTTTAATTCACAACTCTTCTTAAATTTATTACTTTTCTAAAACTCATCTAAAATTCAATACATAATAATTTTTTTTTTTTTTAGAAAAAGGGAATAACAACTGATTCTATCATCTGTGACAAATTCTATTTATGGTTCTGCTTGCCAAAATTCCCTGAAGGCTAAAAATTCAGATCAGACTTTCTTCTTGTTCTTCATGTTTGCAAGCTATAAACTATGATGGAAAGTTTGGCTGTTCATCCATTTCAGAACTCTGAACTTGTTCCAGAACTTTTTTGAAGACGTTTTTGCGTGCTATTTCATGCGAGTTGTCACGGTAGACTGTAGAGGAAATAAACATGTAACTGTTTATAACCCTGCAAAGCTATGCCCAGACAGGATAGCTCCACTTGGCTGGTTTTTCACACCCTTTATTGACACTGGGTAGAACCAGATGGGATCCACTTTAGAAAGTTTGATCAGCAGAAGAGCAGTCAAATGATTAACAGCCACAAGGAAAGATAATTGTAGTTGGAAGGAACTTTCAGGGGTGGAGCTTAAAGGCTCTCCTGAAGGAAAGAGTTTGACAAATTGCTGGTATGTTCTCAGGTATGACTGAATATTATTTTCACTTTTTTATTCATCTGTTATAAGTCAAGCTAGGCTATTCTATCTTCCCTGAATTATCTAAATACACATTCGGCTTGAAATAGTTCTTTGTGAATATTCAGCTGTCTCAGTTAGGGAGTTGATAAACCATTCCTATTTCTTGAATGTCTGTATTACATGTTTTTCAGTGTTTGTTTTCATGTTTATATTTTTTTTAAAAATACTTGAAAACTTTTAATGAAATGCAATGAAATTATGATGTTTCAAACATCTACAAAATCATGTGCCATGGGTGTTGAGATATGATGCCCACATGTGGTGATGGTTTTGCTAGCACACCATGTACTCAATGTAATGTGTTTACCTAACCTACACAGGGAAAACCATGAGAGTAAATGATTAACTGTTTCTAGAAACATAATATTCAGGACAGCTTGCACATATAAAGTTTTGGGGGTTCTCACATAACCTGTTACCACATGTCAATGTCAAACCATGTCAGCCAGTTTGAAGTTTGCGTTTAGATGGACAACAGACTTACAGGACTTCAACTATCATGACAAGACAGAGGAAAGGCAGGATATGTAGGACTTCAGTGAAAGAAAAAAGACCTTCAGACTAGACTGGAGAGAATGTGAATATGGGGAGGAGAGATGAAATATGGTTTTATAAAAATATGCATGTTTGGTATAAGTCTAGGTACTAGACATATGCGCTTGTTTCCTTTATTACAATTCCCATCAGGGCAAGGACCAGTCAGCATATATCTGTATCAGATGGTCGAAGTGACGACCTGCTTGAAGCAGTTAGGATGGCAAGATGGAAAAGAGGTAGACTCTCATCCTGAGATCTGTTCCAGGTTCAAATGTTATGTAACGTTCACTGTTCCTGAGAACACAGTTACACCATCCTCACTCTACTATTATATGCACAAATTAAACTCATTCACTGACTCATTACCATCACTGAGCTATTATCTGTTATGACTGCAAGATCAATACCATCCATTTATTTTTGTTTAGAATAAATCAATAAAATCTTGTTCAAGTTATTAGCTCATAGTTTGTTTACTATTATTTATTGTTCCAAGTGGTTCTGTTGTTTAATTTTAAAAAAACTTACTTTTAAAGGGCTAAACAAACACTATCCCACTTGGTGGGGACATTCGTCGTAAATTAATACCAGGAGAAGAGAGTCAGAGGGGTTAACTGTGTCTTTATGTTCTCTTATCAACTTAATCTTCATATCTATTTACCTTTTTCCTAGTCCTGTGGAAAAAAGTTTAGCTACTTTTATTTTATTCTATGAGCCCCTTTTTGCTGTTTTCTTGGTTATCAGGACTATCTTTAACATGTGGGTGTGCAATGCAATGTCAGGGTTCAAAAACACACTCACTAGTGTACATCCAAATGGGGTTGGCGACATTCAGGCGTACTAGGTACATATGACTAGACCTATATTTAATAAACCAAACTGCACTTGGTGGGTGATGTGGTCAGCTTTATGCCGCCCGCCTTTACTTATCAGGACTGTACCTAGTACTTACTCAAGGCTGGGAGCCAGGGTCATTTTTTTTTTTTAAATCTAGTCCCTGTCAGGAACCAAACCCAAGACCTTCAGATCTGCAGGCGAGCTTCTGGCCGCTAGACCACGGCAGCTTCCCAACTGTACTGAAGGCCTGCTAAAAAATATGAGCATATCCTTGGCTACAGAAAAACCTTGCTTCCACTCCTCTTTTTTTTAAAGCCAAAAATTAACGATTCTATATTACCAAGATACTAGTTACCATCTACGTGGAATGTATAATGTACATATCCATTTTATACTGTTGTCACTATATGCAGAATAGTGGAGCAGAGGTAGTGCAGCTGAGCAGAACAGTGTTCTTCAAGCGGCAGGCTAAGGGTGAAAAAACACTGGACCAAAATGCTTGCTTTCAGGCCCTATTAGTTAGGAGTCTGAATTCCTGTCAGGGTGGTAATTTGTTTTCTTATCAACCCAGTCCCAGCTGGAACATACTGGAAGGAGAATTCCAATCACATAACATGGGTGGAGGCTGGTAATATCTGCAGCAATTAACCTCAAGGACTTGAAATGCTGAATAAAAACCTAGAGTCCTGGGTCAATCCAGCCTAAAATGGGTACCAGGATTGATTTGATTTGATTCAAGAACCGACATCACAGCACTCTGGGCATTCCCATAAGTGCTCAGTCCCCATCTTCAGCAGCCAGCGAAGAGTTCCGATACTAATGGTACCAGTAGCATTCTGATTAAACATCCGTCTTGCCTTTCCTCTGAGCCTTGAGCATCTGTCAGAACCTTGCGTCACTCCCCGCTGCATCAGTCTCACCAGACTGGTGATCTATCTGCTCCTCCGAACCGTACACGCTCTCCCACAAGGCACTAACCACGTCTGTCTTATCATGTATCAGTATTCCACCAAGTTGTGCAGAGCCAGCCAGTCTGTCCGCCGGTTCATTTCCCAACAAACCGGCGTGCCCGGTGAAAAAATCCAGACAATACTCCTCACCCGTGTCCTCCGCAGCAAAGCATGCCACTCTGCACGAAGGTATCAGGAAATATTTTGGAAAGTAAACTGTCATGACACTGTGCATTTAGTGCCAATAAGCCTATACAAATATATGGTTTAAGTTTAGGTCTAGACCATGGATCAATACCATGGCACAAGGGCAGTAACCCATAAGTGTTCCATTCTACTTCTGATTTAAGTCTGAGTTTGAAAAATCTCAGTGCAGTGCACAAAGTCCATAGCGCCGGCGAGGATCCTGAAATACTTTGCATCACATATCATAAATTTCTGAACGCAAGTCATACCATAAATTTTTGTATGCAAGTCGGCTGTGTAAAGTCAATCTCAAAATTCTGAGTTAGGCCTATACCTCTCTAACGACTTCCCACATAAGTTAACCCACTAGTTCTGGAACAATTTTTTAGGTTTAAAACTCAATTAATACATTACAATTTATGGTAGTCAATATACATGACTTTGAAAAATGTCCTTACAGAACACAAAAATATTTCTGTAGTCTTGAAATGTTTTTGACATTATTTATTGTCAACTACTAATAAAATCTATGGGATGAATTCAAGAGGGGTGAAGAAATTAGAAAGCTTCTTGGGCAACCACTAGTATTACAGGCATAAGATAAGATGGCACTGTACTGGATACATTCTGAGAAGAGATGCACAGAGCATCCCCAAACAAGCACTGAAATAGGAAACTGAGGGACTGGAGAAATGATAACATCCAAGAGAAACACTAAAACAAACACAGACGAGAGAAGCCAACGATCCTGGACTGGATTCCATCAACGACATCGAAATGACTGCACAGGTTATAATGGAATGAAGAAAAAGACTGCGAGCCCTATGTGACATATAACAGCACAATAGGAATATGAATGAATGAATAAATTAAATATGTTAAAAGCCATTCTGAATGTCGAAAGTTTTATTGAAGGTATCCCTGTTAAATTAACAAAAACTATATATTATTTTATACAACAAATTTGATATTTCTGACTGAGCTTCTATAGAAAAACAGATTCTAGGCCGAAAAAATACCCTAACAGAACCTCAGTCAGGATATTTTTTCGGCCTCGATAATTTGGAACCCTTATTCAGAGGATAGCCCAGAATCTGTTTTTAACATTGCTCACGTATACAGGGTTGAAATGGCCAGCTGTTATCAACATCACTTCCCCTACCCTAAAAGCTCATTCCAAAAATATACGGTAGGCCTTTTAAGGTGTCAAAAATATACACTAAATACCTTCTGACCTTTTGGCAACAAGCTATTAAATTTTTTTTTGCTTGTGTTGTTTACTGATATTAACATTGATGTCGACCGTTTGTGTGATCCCCCAGCAGGCTGAGAATGAGGAGTTCTATGATACTGGAGCTAGGATGTCTCCCTTGGATACTGGAAGAAACTGCTGAGAGAACTGAGCGAGCACGCACCTCGTCGAGTTTGTTTTGTGACTAGAAACTTGCGACAATTTCGATGCCACTATCAAAGTCCATGCAGCCGTGGCATAAAGCTTGAAGAGATTTACTGAGGCTTGAGATAAACCTGTTGGCAACAGCAACATCCATCTGCAGCTCAGGCATGGTGACAGCAATAATCTGAAATAACCCAGAAGACTGACAATTAAAGAATAATCAACAACCAAAGGTATAAACTGAAGTCTTATCTGTGGCAAAGCCATCTGCCTCACATTCTGAAAGTCATGAGTTCATTTCAGGGTTGCATTAGGTGCAATTCTTACAGAGATCCCTGGGATTGTTTCTACAGATTAGGAGCTCATGTCATGATTTGTGAGCCACTCTTAGCAGGCAGGTAGCCATTCTAGAGACAGATCAAGCAGCATAGGAAAAAATCTGTTACAGTATAGTATATCCTCTCAAATGAGTTTCATTAATAAAAACTTTCTATACTTTTCATTTTAACCTTAGCTCAGAGGTTCTCAACCTGTGGGTCACGACCCTTTGGTTGGTCGAACGGCCCTTCCATAAGGGTCACCAAAGACTATCAGAAAACACATATTTACTGAAGTTATGAAGTAGCAACAAAAATAATTGCATGGTTGGGGGTCGCCGCAACATGAGGAACTGTATTAAAGGGTCACCACAACATGGGAAGCTGTATTAAAGGGTCGCTGCGTTAGGAGGGTTGAGAACCCTTACCTTAGTTTGACAGCTGATTATGTTAATAAAGTTATTAAAGTCACTAGGCTGTCTCTTTACAGGAGGCCCAGTCCTTCCCCTCAATACCTCCCAGGCATTTTACAGAAACTTTATTCACTAAGGATGCTCAATTTAAGTGACTTCCATTTTACGAAAATTAACAGTTGGCTAGCAGCAAAGTGCATGATTCTTCTTCTGCTTTCATCTGAAGATGTAATTGTGTTGTGTCCGTTTACAGCATGGCTGCGATATTGGAACCTTTCGGCCAACACATGCGACTTCTGCGGGCATTTGTTGACCGGGTTAATGAATGATTCTAATTTACACAAAATTTTTCACATCTAAAACACACATATATACAAAGACAACATGTCAGATTAACATTCTATGCTACTTATTCACGTCTTTGGAAAACAGAACAGGAGTTTCCAGATGTGAGATATTTACGGTTCATATCTATTGTAAAGATGGTCTCTGTGGTCAAGATGTTTGCGTTCTATCTAAATGCTGCGGGTTCATATCATGAATGCACTTTTCATTTCATTAGTACATTTTTTAACAGAGATTCATGGTAGCTCGCTGTAGAGTTCATGAGTTGTGCCCGACAGGTGGCTGCTGTGTAGCGTGACTTACGGGAACACTGGGTGCAATATAAAATCGACACTCTCAACTTTAACTAATGTATGAGTAAGTCTGTGAATAATGGACACTGAATTTAAAAAAAAAAAATTAATTATTTTTAACTTGAGACACTACATTAAAAGAATCAGCTATCTTCCGAATAACGGTCCCAAATTATCAAGGCAGAAAATATTCCCTAACAGGGCCTCAGTCACGTGCCACTTGTGCACTTCCGGGGACTATACCGCCACCGCCGAATTGCGAACTTCCGGGGACTATAACGCCACGGCCGAGAGTATCCCCCACGCCGCGTGGATTGGGGCTAAACTAGATCGCTGGGACTCACAAGCAAATAAAATCAAGGCAGCTGCAGAAAATGCGGTAGCTGCTGCTCGTGAGTCCCAGCCATGTAGTTTAGCCCCAATCCACGCGGCGTGCGCGATGTTGGGGGATACTCTCGGCGGTGGCGGAAGTGTGCAAATTAAGTCGCTGGAAGTGTGCAATTTAAGTCGGTGGAAGTGCGCAATTGACACGTGACTGAGGCCCTGTTAGGGTATATTTTCTGCCTTGATAATTTGGGACCGTTATTCAGAAGATAGCCAAAGAATCTGTGGAGTTCACAATCACATAGAGGTGGTTTGTAAAACTTATGAGAATGGTTAAGTTTCTGAGTATGCTCATATATAATCATTTTTCGGGAGGGGGGGGGGGGGGGGGGGGGGGGGGGTAGGTGTCATGTTGCTTGTTTTGAGACCTGTACTTAGCGACTACGGTGTTCGGAAATTTGTGGTCTTTTTGACAATTTCCGTTACCATGGAAACCGTTTGAAACTTGTTTGGGAAATGGCTCGGGTTTCGGGATGGGTCCTAATCTCTCATGAAATTTTGCGATTAGTGTGATTTTCACCAGCTATAAATAGCTGAAAACGACGGGAACTAACCCGATTAACAGCGCCTGTCTACGACAGCCAGACGTCCTCTGTTTTTCTGTTACATCAGTTTGATTGAAAATAGCGGTAAGTATTCAAGGTTGGCTTTAGGCCTTTAACATTACTTGACATGGTAATGATAGTTATAATTGAATTCTCCGTCCAATTTTACATTTGTATATAAAATTTCTTTCTTATTTATGGCTAATTCGATTTACAGTGACATTTTTCAGGCAATCACTATTATGTGGCTGTGTCTGAGAAAAATTGTCTGCCATCTTGTCCAATGTAAACAAAGCCAAAACGAAAGTGCGCAGTTTGGTTGCGCAGAGAAAACTTCTTGTTTCTGAGACGCAAGTTTTCAACAGCTGTTTTTTACATCTCATCTCCACAAAAACCTACATATCTCAGCTCAGAAATGACATACAAGCCTAAATGAGGTACCGTTGGAAAGAGATTGTTTACAGCTATCTAACTGTGCTGGTTTAATTGGTGTTGAGGGCATTTTAAAAATTTGACTAAAGTATCTAACTGTACTAAGTTCAATTACTAACTAAAAACATCCTTTGGATATTCTCTCCAAGGTTGGATCTCGAGGATGCTTATAACAGAGTGAGATATGACATCTTAATGACTGCACTGAGGGAGAAGGAGGTCAATCCATGGCTGGTGAATTGGGTGGCAGCTGTCCTGTATTCTCGTCGGGTTGCTCTCCGACTGGGCTCATGGACCTCTGAGCCATGCACTTTGGCCCCAGGACTGCCACAGGGATCCGCCATCTCGCCTGTGCTCTTCAACGTGTATACGAGCAAGATTGCAAACCTAGAAGCACCAGGAGTTGGAAGGATACTGACTTTTGCGGATGATATACTTGCATATAGGCAGGGAGGAAGAGAGGGAGCAAACAGCCCGGGAGCTACAAGCGACAGTAGACAAAGTGACTGAGTGGTGTACGGAAATGAAGGCTGTCGTCCACCCGGAAAAGGCGTCTGTTTTGTGGTGTTCTCTGGACAACAGAATCTTTAAAACTAATGTCCCAAGTCTCACGATAGATGGTAGAGACGTCAACAGAGAGAGCAAACTGAAGTATCTGGGAATTACATTTGACAGGAGCCTGTCATTTAAGGACCATGTGGAGAGTGTTGTGACGAGATGCCAAAAAGGACTTAGTGCACTTAAGACTATGGCTGCAATTGACATAGAGCAGAGAATGCTTTTCACACTATATCAGCACCTGATCCTGTCAGTGGTGGATTATGGCCTGGGACTGCTTACCGTCTCAAAGAGTCAGATGGACAAACTAGAGCGCATACAGAACGCGGCTATGCGGGTCATTCTGGGTTGCACCAGAGACACCCCAGTGGTGTGTATGCGATACATCCTTGGTTTGCCGACGGTTGCAGGTAGGCACAAGGTGATGCAGGCGAAGTCATATCTCAGGGTAGCTGCAGACACAGACCACCCTCTGCATGAAGCTTTGGGTGCAGTTAAGGGTCAACGGCTGATAAGAGGGAGGTCATGGATGGCTCAGGCAGAAGACACAATCAGACAGGTTTGCATCCTTGAGAACATTAGGCGAGGAGAGGAGTGGGTCAAAGTGCCACCTGAGCAGTCAGACTTGTGTAGAGTCATAATCACGATGAGCTGGGAATGCAGAGACTGGCTAGCAGGTGCCACAGAGGTGGAAATTCAGGAATTAATTCAAGATAATGCTCGCTCAGAGGATTTGATCATTTACACAGACGGTTCAGTGTCAAGAGGCAGAAGAAGTGCATGGGGCTTTTTGGCAAAAGTTAATGGTCGACGTTTGGTGCAGCAGAGCCTAGCATATGATACCACAACATCCAGCTTAAGAATGGAGGTGGAGGCGGTCACTGCAGCTTTCCGCTGGCTAGAGAACACGACACACATTGTTATTGTAACTGATTCAGAACGCAAGCTGAGGAAGATCAGAACAGGTATGCTTCGTGCAGAGTGGCATGCTTCGCTACGGAGGACACGAGTGAGGAGTATTGTCTGGATTTTTTCACCGGGTTACGCCGGTGTGTTGGGAAATGAACAGGCGGACAGACTGGCTGGCTCTGCACAACTGGGTGGAATACTGCTACATGATAGGGCAGACGTGGTTAGTGCTTTGTGGGAGAGCGTGTACAATGCGGAGGAGCAGATGGATCACCACAGTTTGGTGAGATTGGTGCAGTTAGGGGTGACGAGAGGTTCTGGCAGAAGTTCAAAGCTCAGAGGAAAGGCAAGACGGACATTTAATCAGAAAGCTACTGGCACCATTAGTATCGGAACTCTTCGCTGGCTGCTGAAGATGGAGACGGAGCGCTTATGGGAATGCCCTGGGTGCTGTGATGTCGGTTCTTGAATCAAATCAAATCAAATCTCTCCAAGGTATGCTGGTGTTGGGAAATGTGCAGCCAGATGAACCGGCCAGTTCTGCACCACTTGGTGGTGAACTGATATATGACAAGCCAGATGTTGTGACTGCCCTCTTGGAGTGAGTAAACAATGCTGAAGTGCAAATTGATCATTACAGCCTGAGGAGAACGGCACAGCGGGGAGTTACGAGGGGATCTGGCCGACTCAACACTCAAGAGAAAGGTGAGAGGGATATAGATACAATCAGACAGTTACTGGTCTCATCAGAATTGGAACTCTTCGTTTGATGCTGAAGATGGGGTTAAAGCACTTATGGTAGTGCTGACTCTCAAATAATTCAACTAAAGACAAAAATCAAGAGAGGAAGAAAATACTGTAAGACCAAATTTAGCAGAGGTAGAAAATACTGGTGGACGGGTGATTTCAGAACTGGGAAAGAAGATCTGTTTGGTTACCATTTCAAATCAAAATAAAAGATTTGCGTTTTTTA